CTGTTGACCATTGTAAAAGTTCTAGTACATTGTTATATATACCTTGAGAGGGTTTTGGGACTGTTGTTCCCCTTTTTTTCTTTATCATTTACGCCATTATTATTTTGTTTATCATCATAAACTTATTTTAATAGTACCTGTTCACTTAAATACGCCCTTTATTACAGTTATAAAGAGAAATTTACTTTAGTTTTATAGTCATAAAGACTTATTGGGAATAATATCAATCAGATATTGCTTATTTTTTTTCAGTTATCAATTGGGAATAACACTATAGCAGTGTTGATAGTAATACAAAGTGTGCTTTTGAAGTTAAAATTACGTGTGAAGTTATATTTCTCTGGTGCCTTATCAGTACTCAATACAACAGAGCTCTTTCTGATTGTGTTGTTTTAGAAGAGCAGTCCTTAGACAACTTCTACTAGTCATTTTATTAGTAGATTATCCTCTTCCAGCTCTGTATAACCCTTGTTGGGTTATAAGTTCTACAACGTGCCTTTTTAACAATCTTTCCACCGCGGCTACCGGGCATAGGACTGAGTTGTGTTGTCTCAGGTTCAGGAACTGGACCTCATTCGGCTTTGCCGTTTTGGCTTCTGTCAGCCCAATCGACATAACTTGTTTGTCGTCTGAGATTTTCACGTCTTCGATTCGAACGGCCTTGGATTCTCTGAGCGTGGTGAGTTCGCCTAGCCTCTCCATGCCCCAGAACGCGACCAGGGCTATGGTTACTGACAGTTCGGCCGCCCCGTCGTTCCTCGGCAGGTTCCTCAATAAGCTCGCTAGATGTATGATTTGAACTGGCTGTTTTTGTGGCATAGTTTTCGCTCTAGCGTCGATCATCTTGGCCGCTTTCAGCAATACCGGAATCGCTCCGCTCCTTAAAGTGGTTGCGGAGCGATAGCGGAGCGCTTGGGGCATCCGCTATATACACCAATATATATAGCGGGGCCTCCGCTCTGCACACAAGTAGGGATGAGTTTCATAGCGGAGCTTTCGCTCCGCAACCTGCCCAGAGTGTGTTTACTGCGCTATATAGCGGAGGGAACCCAAAAAATGCCCTGAAGCCATACACAGCACCTTCCATTCCACCGCTTTGAATGATGAAAAGAACACTTTTGTATCAGGCTTTCAATTTTCTTAGATTCAACTTTGCTTTGCTTCAACATTCACCAAACTCACCTTGTCACTCTCAAGATTTGGATCAATTGATTGAATCATTTGATCAAACAAGTGTATAATGAAATGACAACTTTGATTTCTGATGACATCTTTACCTCAGCTTTTCAGTTGACCGTTCCAACAATCGATTCTAATGATTTCCAATCAAAACTTAATTTGACTTACATTACCAAGACCCATCGGCTTCTTTACCTCAACCATTTGTTAGTGAACTCACCTCATTCACCACTCAACATTCTTCATTCGATTTGATTTCAAAGATCACTTAATAAGCTTCATACTTTCTTTTCCATTCCTCCCACAGCTTCTAGAAGTCATTCAATGTGATTGCGAGAGTGAAACATGCTGCGTGCTAACAATAACCCACGCACTACCCTCACTCCGACTGAATTAATGCGAACGGATGATTTGATTAGGTATTAATCAATTCCTTGTCTTTTCTCGTATGCTTTTACTGATACCTTTCGATCGTTCTTTCCCAGCGATGTTCTAAATGCTTGTCTTTGGCCTGACACCACTGGATTTCCTGATGCTTCTAATCAGATACCAAACAAAAGAACTACATATCAAATTCACTCCTGATTATTGTAGACCTCGATTGCTAAACATTGAGGATATCAAGGCCATCATCAGTCGGGTAAGTTTTTGATTGGTTTCTTAGCTTACTGTTTTGTCTACCTTCCTCAGTCACTGATAATTTATATCCAATGACATCAAAAATATCTAGTGAGGCTACTTAATTGATCAGGCAGTGTGTGTAACTGCCCCTGATCATCTATCTAGCGTCCTATGTAACTATAAAATGGTGCCTTTATAGCGCGCTATATATCGCAAAAAGAGCGTTTTTACCGCTCCGCAATCTCATCAGAGATTTTTTCTATCAAATAGCGGTTGGATAGTGGTCCCGCCTATAGCGGAGGCTCCGCTCCACAACACATATGGGACCAAATCCATAGCGTTGCGGAGCGGTTCCGGTGTTGCTTTCAGTACCCAATTGATTTCTCTTTGATCGATATCGGGAAAACGTAGGTGATGAAACAGATGCCATGCTCGGAGTCCTGATAGGTAGGCTTCGATGGTTGACGGTTTGATTTCATGATCCGATTTTGGCTTGCCCTCTACCTTCGGTGCCGCCCACTGGATGAATAGGAGGATTTGGCTGGCACTCGCGGGTAAGATTTGTCCGCGTCCTTTGTTCACACTTCTCCCAAAAGTCATATACTTGGTCATCGCTGAATTGTACTGTACTAACGTATCTTTCGACCAGCTACCCCCTAGGATCATCAGGCGTTGTACCGGATCGTCTTCGATGGTCACGACTCCGTCTTCGTTACTCAGAAAGTTATGTATCTTGTTCAAGTTAACCTTGTCCTTCTCTATTTTAGTTGAGTTCATCCTTGTGTTATAAATCTATCTAGATCTTCCGGGATCTCAACGATAACTTCGTTGTTCTGAGACAGGTCGGTTTCTAAACCTCTCGACAGAGCGTCCGCGTCGTTATCGCCGGAGGCCACGTGGTTTTGTTTTATGGAGCAGTGGTGAGTGGTGAGTAACTTCTGGATTTGTTTCCACTCGTTATTCACCGCTCGGTCTTTTGATCTGGCGTTTCGTATAGCTGCTTCCGTTGTTGTATTATCGGTCCACACGATGAAACACTGACCCTTTGTTTCCATTCGTTTCAGGACTACCAGGAGGCCTAGTCGAACAGCAACTGTTTCGAGCCAGGCGATCTTTCGGTTCACTTGGTCGATCGTGATGTCATCCCACCCCGGCTTCAGTTTGAATCTTGCCCAGTGGTTCCCTATCAACACACCGATTCTGTATGATGTTGAGGCGTCGCCCGTCCACCTTATGTCTTCTGGTTCAAGGTTTGGGATGATTCTCATGTGGTCAAAGGTGGTAAGTACCTTCAACCATTCTTCGAGATCGTCTCGTACAGCGTCACTGATACCGTGTCGTGCTTCGCTATTCCTCCAGGCGCCTTCCCAGCCGTACAATTCGCGCATATAGCACTTCATGTCTGGCATGATGTACGTGATATGACATAGTTACCCTACGAGTTTTTTGACCGGCTTTTTCTTCCATCTTTCTCCGTCTAGTAAGGCCTTTACTTGCTTTATTCTTGTTTCTAATTTCTCAGCAGGAAGTCTAACTGTCTTTTCGACCCCATTCCATATGAAGCCGAGATACTTCTGTTTGTCGGCGAAGTTGGCGAACTTGGTATGGTTCGATTTTACTCCCATACCCGCGCTAAGATGTAAGATTGACTCCATCGTGACGTTTGACCCGACTTCTTTGATTATTAGGTTATCATCCACCCATCGGAAGATTTTCGGGATTTGTAGAAGTATTTGCATAATCTCTTTCCAAACATCAGCGGCTCTCCCGAACGTACCGCATCCGGCGACTCCGCCGAAGCCAACTCTGGTGTCTACCCAAAGCCTATTGTAAAAGTCCAGGATCAACAGGTATTTCCACTGTGACGGGTGGGTCGGAATCTGGCGATATGCCTTCAGCCAGTCGAAGAGGGCAAGCTGCCACTTCTTGTCGGTGGTCCTCAGGAAGTCGGCTAACTTCTTAAAGTCATCCCAGGTCGTGATAAAATCTAATTTATCAACGAAGGAGTTTACTGACTGTTTTGGTGAATCTTTGGTCAGTTCTTTCCTCTTTCCTGTTTCTCTATTCTCATCCTTACTCACGGGAATGTCTTTTCTGTCGTGTGGGAATGACAGGTTACTTATCATCCTGAAGGAGCCGTCATTGTTCGTGACGCTCCCCATCGGATTTGACCTGAAGAATCCGAAGTGTCGCTGCACTTCTTGGTGTGTGAAAGGTCCGTAGAGCTTTCCTTCTGCTTTTTCTCTTTGGATTGTCTTCTCAATCTTGTCTCGCACTAGTAGCGCCGACGCTTGGTTTGGTGGTGTATACCACGGCAGGTCTTCGATTGTATGATCAGGTATACCTTGATCAAAACCTTCTCGCAGGCTGACTAACACATCGCCCCATTTCTCCATTAGATCACATTCTTTCATTAGCTCCTCCCACTCATCTATGTTTAGGTCGCACTCGGCTCTTTCTGGCCATCGACTTCTCTGCTCGAGTGGGTCTTGTTGTTCTCTCAGTGGTTCGTTCTCATCGATCTCACTGGTGGGGGTTCTAGTGGGAGGGGGACTTATACGGCAATGATTTGAACACATGTCAGTTTACGCTCCTCACGTTTTGCCTCAGGTTGGGCTCAGGTTATGGCTCTTCACTTTGTTCATTGCAAGTTTGGTCTAGTTTCTCAAGAACTCTGGAGGCGATATACTTACTTCTTTTGTGCTCCTTCCACATTTGCGCTACTACTTCCGCTTTGGTTGTTTGAGCTGCTCTGGCCTCCACCTTCGTTTCCGCCATGGCTTCTTCCCCAGTTTCCTCCTCCATTTGGGCCTCCTCGTCTTGCTCCACCTCTATTTCCTCTGTTATCGCTCTTTTTGAAGTTATGAATGAAGTTCTCTTTCTTCCCTTTGTAATTTGGGTTGATGTTCGCCACTGGTTGGCTATTTTGGGCGTGTTGGAATGGGTTATGAGATGTGGAGGCCGGATTCTGTTGATGATAGGCTTGGGGCGTAGTCTGGTAAGCGTATGAGTTTTCATGAGATTCATGTCTGTTCTGTGCCCACAGTGTTGACCGAACTGATTGAGTTGGTCTTGTGAGCTCCAGTTTCTCTTCTTTGCTCTCCGTTCTGCTTGGGTCGTCCCACTTAGTTGGTCTTCCTTGCCAGTTTGACCCGTCAAGGGGATCTATAAAGCATTTCGCGCCGGTGATTGCGTACGGGTTATCTAAGAACAAGTCGTCGTTTGCTCGGATCGTGTCTCTCTCCGCAAGTCTCTCGATAGTTTGATTTCGAATACTGATGTCTGCCATCGCGGTACCTTCCGGACCAACTTTGAACACTAGGTACGTCTGACGCATCATCATATCGTATCTGTACGCTTGGACCCAACAGCCGTCATTTTCGTCTTGGATTGCCAGGACATTATTGAAGTGAAGTTTCATGACCGGTAGGACTTCAACTTGTTTATATCGTTCAAGGTATTTCAGGAATAGTTCCTTCTGACGGTGCCACTGCGCGACTGTTGTCCTCCATTCGCTTGGGATAGGGGACCCGTTGTACGCGTTCGAATCGGCATCTTTGGTTTTGGCCCTCGATGATTTGTTGGACACGAATGCCACGTCTTGTCTCAACCAAGTCGGGTCAAAGATGGAGAGGGGAATGTAGCGATTGAACTCCTTCATGGCTGTGTCCCAGTGGGGTGATAATGCGGTGAGATGGTCGTTTATCAATTCTCCTTTTTGTACCTTCATCATTTTCCTTTCGGTTGTAGTTTTTGTTGATTTTTCAACTGTCTCTGAGGATGGGTTGTTCCTCTTCTCATTGAACACTAACCATTCCTCTTTCTGTTTTGACAGGTTGTCGTACAGTTTCCGATCTCCAGCTGCGAATGCGGCGTTGATCGCTTCCTCAAGTTGTGAGGCCACCACGTCAGTGACGGAAGGTTCGGCTATGTTTTGGTCTTCGACCGGTTGTTCCACTGTGGGTTTTTGTTTGGACGAATAGCACAAGTAGGTTAGTACTTGTTTTCTCCGTTTGTGATTGTTTGTCTAGTAGACTTCACTGGCTTTCTTTGTGGTTTGATGATTGTCTTTCCTTCCCTATTTGCTTATGCATTGGGTTTGTCATCTCTTCTAGAGGCATTTCCCGAGGGAAGGATTCCCTTTTAGGGTTGACCGTAGTCTTTGATCTGGGGGGGGGTTGAGGGAAAGGGAAATAGGATTAGGGGGGGGGACATTCAAGATTGTACTAACATTCACTCTTGTCACCCAATACTATACCGCCCACCGTTCTCACGCGTGAGTGTTCATCTCTTTGGACTGTTTTCCCACACCATAATTCCCCTGCATTCGGTTCTTGCTGGTCTTCTTCCTCTTCACCTGATGACTCCTTGTGTTGTTCTTTGTCTTCAGATTCAGCGTTCTGAGTTGTCTTCCGTTTCGGCGTTGGTTGCTGTTTGGTCGTTGGTCTCCCGCTGCCGGGCTTTATCACTCCTGCTGGTTGACTCTTCTTCCTTCCTTCTGCCTCCACCACTTGACTTTTCCCGTCTGCTAACTTGATCTTCTTTCCTTTCTTCTGTCCAACAGGTTTTGGGTTTGATGGTGGTGGGAAGGGTTTCGGGGGGGCTTTCTTCCTCTTCGATTGGCGTGTTGTGGGAAGCTCCTCTTGTCCGCTTGGTCCTGGTGCCAGATCCTCCGTGAGTCGACCTTCACCTTCGTCTCTTACTTCTCCGCCTTCATTCTGGTCTCTTTCTCTTTCTTCTTCATCGCCTTTTCTTCCTTCACTAACCTCTTCGACCTCCTTCCCTTTCCCTCCTCCTTCCTCTTTCCTCAGAGTCTCGTCAATTTGTCTTTGAAATTCTTCACTGTCCATTCTACTAGGTTGTAGCGTAATGATGGTTACTCGTAGGATATGTTAGGAGGAATTTGGTGTTTGCGTGTGGGGAGGTATGAGTGGATTATGCTTGATTTACTAAGTTTTGGTCGGATGAATATAGTTAAGATTAACGGAGAGTCTTCCCGATTATTATCTTGGAGGTCTGGTAGTGGTGCTTCGTTGTCGTTCTGATTATTGATGTTGCCTTTGAAGTATTATGCGAAAATTTTTACTACTTAAAGTATGAGCAACTTGAAGAGCATGAAATGCTCGAATCTACGACTAAGGTGCAGGAGAAGAATTGCAGAGAGTGATTGAAAAGTTTTCAATTCCTTCTCTCTGTATCTTCTACCCACCCGACCTTGTCGTGTATGTAGTGCTTACATGTGCACCTAGTCTGGTCTTACCCGCTTAGTGACAATAGAAAACCTTAACATGTCGTGCCTTTGGTGGTAAGATATCATGAAGTCAGTTCCATGATTCAATGGATATCATGAGTGTCAAATAAAATCCCACTGAACCATTGTGATCCTTCAGTGACATGAGTATTACAGAGAGTAGAACCACGTGCAATTCCTATCAAACACACAATAGTATAGATTAGATGGTGTGAATCCTACTCAGTGATCTACCATGAATGATTGCGCACCCTCAACAATATCCAAGGCTGAATAGTGGTCATAGAATCCAGGGTTTCAAATCATGAACATTGGAAGTAAATCTTGTCTGAATTAGGATTGATGACATGCTTCTTTCATATCCTGTCATGTAGGCTGCTTCCACAACTGTGCCTTCCTGGGTTGGCAACTGTGGTTCATTTCCAATGTGATCTCTGTTTGATGCAAAGTGGATTTATTTGAGCAGACCATCACTCATCACGCCAGGCTAGATCATTTATGTCCTGCTTGAGCTTACCTCAAGCTGGAAGATCTTATGCCCATTCCCTTTATATGAGTCATATTCCTGAGTATGCTCAATTATCAGCTAGGGGAAAGCACCACTAATCAGTCTATCTATGATTCTGAAATTTTTGATATTCATTAAAGACACCATTTTCACAAGCAGTTTTTTGCCTCTTGCAAAAGGTACACATTGTAAGACTGGTCCATGGAAAATGGATGAGTGTGCTCTTTAGAAAGAACCAACTTATTGAAAGCAATACAAGAGAAACAAACGTCAAACAAAGAGAATCCCTTCTACTTTGAGAGATATGGCTCCACTAGATTAATAATTTATGTCCCCCCACCCTCCCAAATAGAAATATCAACTAACTAAACAAAATCTCTCCAATGACTTAAACTAAAAGAATAGATGTAAAATAGAAGATTGTGGTTATGTAATACCCCTCAGCAAGATTGGTAGAGATAACCCATCAAGAAGGAACTACCAAAAGTAACACTGGGCACATGTAGCATTTTTCCCATTGTGCAAAATGATTAAAATTAATGTCAAAAATGATTAAAATTGCTGTGTTCATGCAGTAAAATGCAGTGTTAATGCACATGCAGAATAAATGCAAATTTACCTCATTTTCAATTTTTTGGTCCTTTGCAAACTTAACAAAGTCCCTCGTTTTTGAGCTGTACCGGCCAGCTCAAACGGCTGGCCAGTACAGCTCAAAAATGAGGGACTTTGTTAAGTTTGGGTCCTTTGGCTCCATCATTTTTCACTTGGGAAAATTACTACATGTGCCCAGTGTAAATGTGCTCAGATCTCATTTCCAAGCTTCTGGTGGATCCAAAATTATTTTGCTCAATTTCAGGCTTTTTACTTCAAACATTTCACTCTCCTTTTCTCATCCATCCCTTAGGCTTGGATAAAGTGGTAGCAATAAATACCGGAGGTGGGAAGAGTGGTCATTGGAGGAGCTCTTTTAAAAGTGCCGTTTGTTTCAAATTTTGGACTGTTCTCAAGGACAATCGGCAGAAAGGTGGCGACTTTTGGTAGCTCTGAGGAGCGTTTGTTTTGATGAAGGGCTTTGTTGAGCTTACATCAACATACTAAAAAGAGCACAAACCCTCCTAGAACTATACTTCAAATCAATACTCGTCAATACGCTTTCCTACAATTTCATGCAGGTTTGCTATCATTTGGAACACCAAATGAAGACACACAACCAATCACTTGAAAATTCTTCGGGATTAGACTCAAGCCTTTCTTTTATACTCGTCTCTTCCTTTCGCATCCTTCTTAGTCCAAACAGAAACTGATGAAGCCTTCAAATCGAATAAAATCATACGATCAGCTTCAGTCGAGTGTTTCTTTGAAATGGGTTTATGAAAAAATGAAAGTACGAAACTGGACACTTGAATTCTGCCCAACCATCTTCTCCGATACAAATGGTGTCCGGATGCCAACCCAAGCAATCTGTCCATTCTTCTCCCGAGTGATTCTGATGTTTCAAAGAACGTATACATGAGTATGATACACAGCAATGAAAGCAGATAACATAGATCATCAGCAAATATGGCGAAGTATTGATCCGATCACATGACTGACCCTTCCTACTTCCATACGTTTGGTGCCCTCTCCCCCATTTGAGATCACAACTGCACACCCATCATGACGCTCATCGCCATCTCTGACCCATCCAGCACACCGCTCATGGTCCCAATAATCCTTCATAGGGCCATATGCAAAAAGCTTACGAGCACGGATCAAGTCGTCTAGTTGAGACATCGGCTCAAACTTATGTTCACCTTTGATCCCCTGAGATTTTATCGACATAAGTGTACTAAACTCATCGAATAGCCTCAATTATATAGCTTACCTCGAGATCCCCCAGAAAGACACACGGATAACCATCTGGGCGCAACAAGATGATGCTGTACGCCAAAGGCTTGAATTGTGGTCCAACCCACGACTCCAGAGCCTCATAAGGTTCTGAAATCCCAGAGTCTTTATTACCAACACTTGTTTCGATGTCTATCAGAGGAACGAACTTACGCGTGTCATGGTTATCTACCATTGTAACAGCATCAACTGGTCTGCACTGAACCAGCGTATCATCGAAAATCTGACGAATATCATAGTTTTCTCCTTCGTCTGATGCTTTCTTGAAATTGTAATGCCTGAAAGGGAAGAAGCCTATTGAGCACGCGTTTACGAAATGTGAAGACATCATTGAAAGGAGAGCCTTACAGAGGAGCATCGAAAACCGAAAACTGCGCATCCAGTCCTTCAAGATACTGAATTTGTTACATGGAAGCTCATTCATCAAGATGTACTGTAGTACTAGATCGCTTGCCCAAAAACATGGCAGAGTAGTATAGCTTACGGCACTGATAGTGTCAATGTCGTCCTTCCAGAATTCACCAACCTGATTTGATTACACATGATCTTCAGTGAGAATAATGAAATGGAGAAGACGAAAACTTTGGGAATATACGCACAGCAAATAGATCAGGGTTTCCAACTGGTGATAGATGACAAAAACAAAAGAATTGGTCAGAGGTACAGTCGGGCTAATAGATCGCGTCCAAAAAATGTTATAAGGGAACAAACCTTCACGTCTGACATGCTTAATGAAATCGGCCACAAATCCTCTATCCATATGTTTGACAGCATCAAATCGGAACCCGGCTGATGAGGTGGACAAACAAGAAAATTCTCAGCTCGAGTCTCTCGTAAATTTAGTGATAGAAATCATATGACCTGCTCCAAGTTCCTTGATGATCCATATACCCCATTTCTTACATTCGTCAGAAACCTCTGGATGTGAATGATCGAGATCCGAGAACCTTCAGTGCCGAATCATTTACGCGCATCAGGTAATTATTTCAATCAATCAGTAAAGGACCATCTGATAGAATGAGCAAAGATATGTCCTCACATCAAATAGTCAAAGTCTGTAATGTGCAAACGGAGGCTAAGAGTCAGAAAGCGGCCATCCAGATTCCAGATATGATAAGGGAGGTGATTGAGTTTCAGGATCATCACAACGTACTTCCGTTCTCTTCATCAACATCTGTTGCCCACGCCTTCCCATTTCCTTCTATTTTGAAGATCGCTTTCTTCTTGTTCTTATTATCATAATCTACACCTGTGAAATGATGAGAACTGTACAAAAGAGGTGACAAATGAGAACGTTCTTCTGGACCACTGTAACTTTGCGCTCCTTTGACTTTTGAAGCTTTTCTTTGGCTCTAACAGATAAGAAAACTCAACTGCCATTCAAATTCACTGTACTTTCCTTTACGTTGCGGAAAGTTGAACCCGGTCCACGCCTCAATTTCGTACGCATCGGATCTGATCATCGAAATGAGGTTACTTCTCAGATGTCAAAATAGTTCCGAATTTTTCAGTCCTCACATTTCTTCATTTCTGTTATTTGAATTGACCTCTTTGGCTTTGCAAGTCTCAGAAAAGTCAGCACCCGCCTTATGATTCAGCACAGCATCTAATTTGTCAATGTTAAAACAATTTTGTCATTTATCTGACCCCAAAAGGTCACAAATAACAAACTCGAGAGCAAAAATAAGTCCTTACCTATATATACCGCGACTCCGCATTCACGAGCTTGACGAACGGCGTCAACCAACTCTTCTTTAGTTCCCCATTTAGTTCTGGTCTTTTTTGGGTCCTCTTTGTTTGGAAATTCTCCCAAGTCAAAGAGGTCGTAGATATCATACCCGTTACCTTCCATAGAGCTAGCCTGTATCAAATCAAACCATCTGATGGACATCAGTATAACATCCATCAAATCTGTGATGTTTCCATTCTGATGAATCATTCAAAAATGACCTTTGTTGGAGCTGTGGCAAGAAATTAGATCAGAACCTGATAGCAAGTGAAGACAAAGATTGAATATGTCGAGAGATGAATTCTTACGAGGTAACCAAGCGGCAGTGATTCCTAAATCAGCAAGATGTTTGACACGATCTTTGAACCATTTCCAGTGCTTCCCATTTCCTTCAGAGTGCCATTCGAATGCCTAGAAGATCAAAAATGTTTGTTATGATCGCTTGATTTCTTAGTTGATGATCATCTTTGATGGTACTGACTTGGATCATTGTATAATTGTGTGATGGTGGTTCGTCACCATGTCGCTCACGATGGAAGAAGTTATTGGCTCTATCGGCCATGGTCTCAAAGTGTTGATGAGCGGTAAGTAATCAGTTGGATGCTCTGATGAGCTTTATATGCTGTTGAAGAGTTAAAAATCATACAAACCCCTAAACGTCATCTATGACGTCATTTTCATTTTAGGGCTGTGTCCCGCTGCCTTTCTCAAACGGTGTTCATAAAGACGCACAGCGAAGTTCTGGATAGATATCATTCGAGATATCTATGGAATCGACATCCGAGCCATCGCCATCGTAAACTGCCTCATTCCGAGATGAAGATGACTGGTGAAATTGGGGCGAGGACTCAAGAGACAATGGACTGGTGCTTCATTACCTCGCAGATTGAGCACCGTTGAAATTGAGGTGGGTCCCTTAGCTCAACGGCATGCACTTCGATCTTTCAACTCTTGGAAGTGCAAATCGTACGGTTTTGCAAAAGGATGTAGCGGCACGATGTGCTGATGTGATCACGTCTGCTAAAGGAACTCTGCTTAAAGATGTGTATCGCAAGGATATGTAGGCAGTATAACTGGTGATAAGCCACTGGAGGGTGTTACTACATACTTGATGCACCAGGATACATGATCGACATGGACATCAGCTTCCAGCTTGATCAACTCCAAGGATCTGCACCTAAGATCCCGTCGGAAGAAGGGAAAACACAATGTCTCGGACCATAAGGAAACTACATCTTCAGCGCCAACCCAAGATAAAGAGTCTCTGCCATATATGCAATTTGCCAATGCAAGAACTCATCTGATCACTTGCACTCAAAAAAATACAAGAAAGCTCAGGACAAGACAAAGATTCAACGTGCCACTCTCTCATGTGATGTTTCTGAAGGCTGAGATAAAAAATGACATTGCTTGATTTTCGTCGTGATTTGCCGAGTCTGCTCAATGATTTTTTTCATACATCAGAAAATATTGGTCTACCCAGGCACTTTAAATTTCGCTAAGGATTTGGACGGGTGTAATCGCAGCAACCGTGAAGATACCTTTGAGAATACCACAAGAAGAGTAGCATATACCTGATTGTCTCAAGACAAAGACTGGAAGGTGATACATCAACGCTTTTGAGAAGGAATCTTGAAAAATTTGGGTTGTGATATCACTGTGCCAATGTGAGCTAAGCTGACTTCTGCTCTGTGTGTCATTGACAGTGCATATAATCAACATCAAGAATAGGAAAAGTTAAAGTGTTGACAAAGCAGCGCTTCAAAGGAAGTAGATTCAATGTGGTCTATATAGACTTAGTGCACTGCACCCCTGTGACCAATTTGTATATCTGTTTTGATCCTCTCCCTAGGAAACAGGCTGAGTCATTCATGACATACATCAAGCTCAAAAATCCAGATCCGAGTAATCTAAGTACTAAAGCAGGATGTACACGCTGAGAGAAGGCAAATGATCACCTCAGTTATTTAGGCTTCACTGAGCGTTTCAGATTTGACTCACTTATGAATGGGATCGTCTCGGGGGTCCCCCCACAGTAATAATCCCGACCTCCGTCGTTGTGACACTCTGAGCGATTTGATCCATTCCACACGTCGAAGTAAATCAGAGTCTGAAGTAAGCAGTGGAAAACCCAAACAGGCTACTCACCAAATACCCCATCGTCCTCCATCCAATTGTATCTCACACATTGTTGTTTGCTTACGCCACCGTGGCTTCCGGCGATTACACAGCCATCCAATTGAACCCATTGGTTTCCTATATTTGACAGAGTACCAGATGTGCATTCGTAAAATCGCAATGCATTAGTTAATATATTCTTTCAAGAGGTGATGGTCAGAGAATGATATTATTTATTTCAAAACATTTACCGTTGAGCCAGCATTGCTTTTTATGGCAATTTTGTTGCTCTGAATTCCTACCATCCTTACAGACTTTGAAAGATGAAGTGACAGATTGAGTCAAATTATTGGCTGTAGTACAATCAGAATCGATAGGAGTTAACGGTCGAACATACCGATGATATCATCACTATCAGATCCTGTGAATTCGCTGTGGCATTTTGTTGTGAAGAACTTTGTGGATGATACAATGAGTGAACTGAGGCACAAGATGGATGCTAGAACGCAAATCTTGACAAAAGACTGGTGCAACATGTTGATGGGGAAAATGATGGAAGACCTGTAACAGAGGTGATGGAGATGATTGATAATTGTTGAGTGCGAGGTCAGCTGTGTTTCAAGTTGGATTGAGTAGGCTGATGAGAAAGGGATGGTTTCTATCTTGATGTAGGACGCTGTCCTTCGAGACCAAAAAACATGTGATGGTTTGTGGCTTCCTGGTTCAGTATAATCGGCAAAAGTCAAATTAGAAATCAACAGATCTTCGAGGGTTCTTTCGAAGCCACTTGTGGATTCGCCATCCAACAACCTTCTGCCTTCATCCCAGTGTGCGTATGAGACCACCACCTTGTACGGAGAGATGCGGTATCAGTCTTTTTCTGAGACTCCCTGAGACGGTCTCTGAGCCATACAGGGATAGTACAATTTCTTCCAGAGTGGCACTTTTTTTTTTCGAGCGGGGCGCGCTTTTTTTCTCTGGTCTTCTCGGACTACCCAGGACTGTACAAAGGGATCTTGTAAGATTGACCGATCAGAAATAGATCAAAATCAACCAATATGAGAGAAGGAACCATGTTAACGGTGATTGATTTTGTGTGTTAATTTGTTTGCAATGTCAAATCAATCCCGTTTTGATGTGCTCCATCACACAGGACCAGGGTGGGTTTCTCACAGGACAATGGTCCCTTTGATTCTCTCCATCATACACTTTGGACTTTGGTCAAACATTATGATTTCATGGAAAGAATGTAATATAATCGAATAACAGAGTATGAATGATTCACAAAAGAGTGAAACTATTTGAGCCATCTTCATCAGCTGTTCACCAAGCTGCTAGCCACATGAACACCTGTATTCGCGATATTATGTTATGTGAACAAGGTTGTGGCTTGGTGGATTCCCTTCATTCCTTCTCTCGTGACATTCTACAAGAAAAACCCAAGAAAAAGGGTTTGGTCATTAGTCATCAAAATGATGTTATTGCAGGTATTTCACCATTAGCATCATGACTGAACAATATCTTTCGATTATATTGTTTCACCATTAAAGCCCTAATTGTGATAATCAAAACCAATAGAGAATGGATGAATATTCAAACACAAAGAAAAAGAAAAAGAAACACCTGTAGGATCAAAAGGAGCAGATAAACGTTAAAGATACACCGATCGTTTTGGAGGATCAGCTTGATGTATCGTAGAAGAACATTCTGCAGGACTATGATTGATAGCAGCTGAGTCGAATCAATCACAAGCAAAAGGTTGAATGGGACTTTGGTGTAGAGTCGTGTGAAAATTTATTTGATTTGTTAAGAATCTGAGGAAAATCGATCGAAGCACGAGGAGAATCGATCGGAGCACGAGGAGCATCGATTGAAGTATGACAACATTCAACAGGAGTATGTGACAATTCGACTAAAGATGGTTGATTCAGAATTAATTAAAACCAAATGTGAAAAAACAAAACAAAAAGAAAATAAAAAATAAAGAAAACTTACTTACTAGGAAGAGGTGAAGTTGAAGTTGAAGTCCATAAACTTGATGCCGGCTAATAGTATAAGATCATCAAAAAAATCAATGTGAGTTATGAAGACAAAGAACCAAAGAAATTTCTAAAAGCTTATCAAAAAAAGTCAGGTTATCTTGATGCTTTCTGCCAATGCCTTGATGATGACTTCCTCTGAAGGCTTGTTGATGAAATTTTTTGAGTCGTTTCCCGGATATGGTACGCTGTACAAATGAACTATGGAGTGTGTATGAAGGGTGTACAGAAAGCCACTTTTTTTTGTAGCTCAGAGAGAGTCTCAGAAGAGTCTCAGAGCGACAGAGTCTCAGAAAAAGACTGATACTGTTACGCTCCCACCTTGTAGTGACTTTTTCACAGGGTTTTTGAGGGTTTTAGTACACATAATGTTCGATCATCGATAGCCTTTCAGCTGTATAACCCATGAGACCATGCTATAGAAAATTCCAGTGCGTCCAATTTGGAAGGAAGTCCAGGGATCGGATGTCGTCCCCAGGTTATCTCTCCAATTCAGCACCAACGGCGCCTCGCAGCTCTACTGAATCCGCGGAGTCCTGCTGTCATGCGGCGGTTAGCTTGACCAACTCCAGAGTCCAATCTCCGCGGGGCACTTGCAGACTTGATCCTCGCAAGCTGAACGGAGGGAAAAATAAACCTGATAGGGCGGGCCTGGTGAACCAGCAGGCCTGCCAAAATATTTTGGACTAGAAGTTTTTCCCCCCTATCGATCACTCCCCCGCTCCCTGACTTGAGATTTTGTCCTCCTCGAACTTGAACGTGCTTCTTACGATCACATTTGCTTTTAGACTTTCAGATCCACTAAAAACCTCTCTGAGGCTCTGGTTTGAAATAGAAGAACTATCTTGGGCGTCAGATGAATGTTGGTGTAATGCACACATAGGTACCAGCGGTCTGCTGCTTACAATATGTCACTAAGAGAGGCGGACAGGGTCAAGGAAACCAGAATGAGCATGCTTGATCTTGCCTTGAACGGGCCGTTTATTAAAAGCAAGAAATGCGAGCAGGTCATTCTCAATTTCTCAGGCTCAAACAGTCACGTGACCGCTTGGAGAGAAATATATGCTTATACTCGGTGAGTATGTTTGTACATGACAGCCAGATATGTAATCAGATTACACATCGAGAAATCAGAGCACTTGAAAGTTGACACTCTTCATCTTGCTTCCACTGCTTTGAGACCTCATTGATCTTGACGAAATCAACACTAATCAAATCCACTCAATACCAATCGAACTCACTCGACACCAATCGAATTCACTCAATCACGATGTTCGTACTTTTTCTCATTCTTAGAGTACTCTTCAAGATAGTTTCTTACTTCAAAATGAATTTGGATATAGGAAAGATACAACAGATGGCACACAAATTGAAAACAAAAAAAAGAAACCAAAACTTGACCCTGAATTCTTACCAGCCAATAAACATGCACCAACACCCTTAGAAAAACAAAGAGCTCAAGTTGCAAGATTACTTCAGGTTTATAAAGATTTTAAAATTTTGCATTTCTTTCAAATTGTCTTACGGTTTCTTTTTCGATCACTTTTTTTTGCATAGGATCCTACTAGAGAAATTCAATTACCAAAACCACCTAAAGATAAAAGTTTACGTCCTCCTAGAGAAATGATGAAAGTATGTTTCTCTAAGGCTTTAGATTCCTTGTAAAAGATATTGATCTGATAACTATCCTTTTGACATTAAACCATACATTTTGATTTTATAGAACGTTCAAGGTAGTTCAGCTGGTGCCGGATCTGGTGAATTTCACGTTTATAAACAAGCTAGAAGGAGGGAGTACGAACGATTACGACAGATGGATGAACGTGAACTGAAGGCATGTGGATGATTGTCAAAATCCAATCCCAAGCCAAATTCCTAACCTCTACAAATACTTATACACGTGTATACAGGAGAAGGAACGAAACGAATTCGAAACTAAACAAGCCGAATTAAAAGCCCAATCTGAATCCAAAACCAATAAGAACCGAGCTAGACGTCAGAAACGTAAACAGGTTCGACTACAAAAGAAAGATCCAAAAACAGAAGATGGTACTACTGGAGCTGAAGTATCAGAACAACGTAGTGATGATGAATCAGATGATGATTCAGATAATCAACAAAAACGTCGTAAATTAGGTGCTGCACCAATTGCAGAAGGAATCACTTTCAAATCAAAGAATCAAGATGATGAAGATGATGACAGTGATGGCGATGAGACAAAGAAGAAGACGGCATCAGAAGTTGAACCGAATACTATCAATTTAGATTTGTCGAATCAGGATTTAGCTGCTATACCTGTGATCGAACCAAAGGGTATCACTATCATTGAAGATGAATGGTAGAATATGTTAGCGCTGAGTGAAATTTATAGGATTATCCTTTGTATAGTAATGTTTTCAGATCGCCTTTGACTTGAAGAAGATACTTGAAAGCTTGCTTTCGAGCAGATTGTTAAAATCAAGTCTGACCATCAGCTGCTCATTGGTGAACGTTTGTCAAATCAGAGTAAAACATATCAAATCCGGAACTTGGTTAGTTATCACTTGATGGAATCTGTTACATTGTAATCTATGTATCTTTAGTACAGACATATTCCACAATCTCGTCCTTCATCTTTGGCCTTGCGCACAAATATATCCTGTGGGACGGTTTTTAGGAGTCAAAGATAGCTGCCGTGCAATCGTATATATAGAAAGATCGTTTGGCTTATCTATCATCCTCGTGGAACCATCTCGATTGTTTTCATCGTTGGATATCGAGACATGAGGTTGAGATATTTCACATACAAAAGAGCCTCGCATAACTCGACCAATCTTGCGCCAGGTAAAGAGCTGTAAACCATCAGCATGTACATGTCTTGGAATTCATCAGACTCAATGACGTCACAGTGATACAGCTGAAAGAACCCAACTAGATGACGTCATAAACAGTTTTCATCATTAAACATTCACGAAGACAACACTCACCAATCGGATTCAAAAAACTTTAAACATTGCTTTTTGGACATCAGCATCTCTCCACACCTCAGTTTACCATCAAAAGCAATCTTATCTCAACCCAGCATGTCTACTCAATGTAAGTTTCAGTTTCAATCAGATTCCATTCCAAACGACTACTCTCACTTAAGGCTAGGGAAATCAATGGTTGATTGTTGAAATGTATAATATTTAATCAGCTCAATACATGGCTCACACTAATGACGGTGATCAACGTAACGCATCCCAGAAAGATATAGACGCCCAAAAGGTATGCCAATACATCAAACACAACAAGTCCGACGTAATCAATCCTTACTCTTCTTTCTATAAACAAAACCACAAATATCTACGGAATGATAGCCAAATAGATACGAAGCAGGTAAAGAAGGATCACATTTAAACAATGATTCAAAAGATGGTAGATCGATTGCGAATCGATTAGAATCAGAATTGCGAAAGAATGAAGATGAAGATCATAATCCGGATCCAAATATCCCTGACAAAGGTCAAAATCCAACTGATTTAGCTAAGGCTCATGGTAATAAACCTAGTAAAGGAGCTATGATTGATGAACAAATCAAATTGGAGGAAGAAGCCGAGGTTAGTTTCTTCTGAACTTGAAGGTTTTTTTTTGGTATCTTTATTTCTTGTTAGGAATTAACTCTTTTGGATTGAATTTTTGGGTCTTACTCTTCGGTAGCTCAAAAAGAAGGGGATCTCCACTTGAAGTTGATGTTTCTCGGCTTCAAACTTTAGAACATGCTCCATTCTTAGTTAACTATGAATTACAACATTGCGAGGCAATAATCTACTTGAAGCAGAAAACTTTGATGGATATGTATCCATGAAAGCAATAAGAAGGCTTTGATCTACCTTTTTATGCTCAGAGCTCTTCAGGTACTTGCGAGATACATAAATGGACCATGAGCCATCGCTGCTGAGAAAAAGCCCCAAGACAACACGCCAGGCCATAAACATGACATGACATGACCTCGCCTTGCGCTTGCTCTGATTGACAAATCCACCGGAATCCCAGTGGAAGGGTTTCGAAATGATTCACGAGGGTAAAGCCCCTCTATGAGATTCAATGGCAGATTTTTAGCCTATCCTTCATTGCATTCCAGTCTGTGTAGAAAGATTGGAAATAGATTGGAAATCCCTCCATATCATTCTTGTCGCCGACGTTTGAAAACTTTAAGAAATAAATTCCCATCTCATCATGCCATTGCTGCTTTGTGTCCGCTTTTTCTGCCAGTCAATATTCTCGCAGACTTTGTGATTCACAATTATAAAGTCTTGACATGTACAAGCTAGCCTCCAGCGGACACCTGTATAAAAAACTCGTTTGCAATTCGCCACAAAAGACATAATTGTAGGATGACACCAAATGAGGTCTCTCCGTGAGTCATGATGATCAAGATCTAAAAACAAATGCACTGTCGGGGATTCGAACCCCGGACTAAAGCTATTCTCGATGGAAGGCTTCAATGCTAACCGCTACACCAACAGCGCATGGGAAAGTTGTGGATCATCACAAAGTATGATATGACAACATCATCACAATTCGCCTACCTGTACCTCCCATTTTCTGCCAGACCTTAGCACCTTGCTATCCTTAACTTGTAAATCTTTGGAAGTACATCTTATCTCTGTCCACAATGAGGATGCCAACAGAAGTGGTGGCTCAGGAAAGAACTCGACTATACTAGTGAGTAAGTGCTTGGTCTTAGGCATCTTTTACAAATCAGTGATAATTTATCTTGGCCTTTCCTTGTGGCTGCAACTTTTAACCTGTGATTCCACTATAAATAATTATGATATGGATCAACAAAAATTCCCATAGTGCCCTCTGGGTGTCAACTTGTCAAATAAGAGGAGCTCCCTGTGTAGGAGAAACAAATGTTATGCCAAGCTCCATCAGTGTCTTGGGATTTGCATCTTCCACTATACTTTCTTGTTGTGTTCTCACCATGGTTACGGAGCCCACATCTTGCTGAGTGGAACCAATTGTCATAAGTATATATCCTATGAGCATTTTTACTATCATCTATCCTGCAGAAGATGTTGCATATCATGTGATTGTACCCCCATTGTCCTTACAAGTGGATGTGTTTTCAAAGGAAGCTATGACAGCTACAGAAACAAGTGCTGTAGGAATGACAGACCACTTTGCATGCATGAGCATTTCAAAGCTCACCATGAAATATTTTCTGTGGTGTGTTGAAGTCTTTGATAATGTGGCCTAACAACAAGCACAACAGTGTCAATAATTTATCAAAACTTCCTTGCAACTTGAGTGAGCAAGCACTGCAAGCTCATTCCAATGTCAGTATGCATTGTGTTTGTTTTTTGTGAATATCCTTAAACAAGAGTCGCAGCTGCTGTACTCAGCCACAGCCTGTGCCAGATCCCAACATATATCACCAAGTAGAAATGAGTGCCTGTCCTCCTTTTGCAGATAATCTGAAATCTCTACTTCTTTTCTGCAGATCAAGGTCATGATACAATCAAAGATAAGCATACCCTCACCACTAGTCCTCTTCCAGCTGGCTGTGACCATACAAGTAACAGCAAAGCCTGGGAAAATTGCTTGTTTGACAAGATAGAATTTTTGACTTAACCCCCAGAATATTTGGAAGGGCCTACCAAACATGTTTAGCTTCAAGCCTGATCCCAAGAGAAAATGGTCTGCCACTTTCAAAGAAACCTAGGGAATGAGTGGAACCAACCAAGTTGCAATGGATCTTGGGCCACCCCAAACATATATCCTATACTACTCCTTCTATAAGAATTGCCAATTCTTTTGGAAGAATCATTCTCAGGAAGGAAATGAAATCATAGAGTTTGATATAAAAGGTTCAGATTTGATCAACACACTTGTTAATTATACACCAGTCTCCTGAACAAGAGAATATGTAATAATAGTAGAAGAATGACAAGAATTGGCTTAACCAAGATTATTGATAGACCTGGCAAAATATTGGGCTATAAGTATTTTGATTGCACTTGAAACGGGAACAGCTAAACATCTGAAATCTAACAGATGCTGAAATTTGGCTCCATAGATTCAAAAGTAATTTGAATCCTAAAAAGGCCCATAAATTTTGCAATTGGCAAGCAAAACGCTTGATTCTTAGCTCATTAGACATCTAAACTCTGTCTCCAGAGCTTTCATTTAGGTGATAAGTCTGGGTCTAGCTTTGCAAAGAATATATGTGACTTTGTAGAAGATACTTTCAATGAACCACAGCTGCTTTGTGAGATGAGCTGAAGCTTTGACTGATTCTTAAGAGATTTAGAGAAAGGCTCTTGATTTCTTGTGAGACCAAATTCAAGTCTTTTGACCACAAATTTCAAAATTCATGAACATTCCCAGAATTCAAAATGTTGTCATGAAACTCAGGAGCCAAATTTCAGCATTTGTTGCAGGTGTACCTCTGATTATCATGGGTTTTTTTGGTTGGTACATTCAACAATGTACACCCTAAAAATACAAAAAATACTCAGATCATATTTCTCAACACCAGGAATGATATACAATTTTTTTGTATTTTTTGCTCACTTCCTGACATCCCAATATTTTTGAATATCAATTTTTACATTTTCTGCCCAGAAACTGTTAAATTATTTGTAGTGTGCACAGCTGGTGATAGAACTGTACACTATATAAAAAAGAAGACTGGAATATGCTTACAGATTTAATGGCACATGTATCTTTGAGACCATCTTTGGAAGAAAATTCCTTCCCGCAGAAAGTTTTTCATTAGTCCTAGAAGCTTCCTGGCTTCACCATCCATGATATCATAGTGTGATTGCAAGAGAAACTTGTGTATACCCCTTCTTCTTGAAAACTTCTCCTTATTTCTCCACTGTCTGATTTTTTACTCATCCTAAAAATATGGGAGGTAGTATCAATTTAAGCCACATTTCTTTAGTTTGAGATATCTTTGTGGCTCAAGGATCTCATGTAACTGGAATGTACAATCTATCATTCAAGCAATACTGCAATTGCTCTGATCTGATAGGTTTGAGTCATCCAAGTGATTCCCAAGTTTGGAAGAAAGTGCTGTTTTTAAAAATGTAGAATGATCGATCGAAAGAAAACAACAGTTTGAGTGAGACTGGAAATCAATTTACCATCCAAGACTCAAGTTCAACCTATCGTCATCAAGCGCCATCAATACTCTATCACCATCAACGTCACCACCATCAGCATTAATATTGAAGATACTCATTCACCTAATCAACCTCGACTTTTTATTTCTGTTCTATCTTATCCCTATCCTATATGACGTCAACTCTATCAGATTATCATTTATCAAATCATTTACAAAGTCACCATCTCAAATCAACTTCAAGCGAACAAATCTCTCCAAACTCTTCCCATTCCCATTCGCATTCAAATCAAATTGATAATGAATTGGATGACGATCATCAAGAACTTATTAATCTGAGAAATACTGCAAATCAAGAAGTTCAAAAACCATATCAGGAGCGTTTCAATGAATTCATCTCAAATCCAGAATTTATCTCGTCACCAAAATCAAAGTCAACTATACCTCTTAACCATTCAGGAAATTCTAATCAACTTGAAATTGAGGAAGAAGAGAGTTTTGTATACACAGGGAATGAAGCAGAAACTTCAACTGAAGACGGATGTGAAGATGACTTTGTTTATGATGGCAAGGATGTCAACGTCTTTGATGATCAAGACTTACTTGAAACTGATTATGCTACCAAACTTGATGCTATTCTGGAGCTCAATAACGCTGGTTTGGAAGATAACTCTCATCTTGACCAAGTTCCAATCGTTCAATCTACTACCTCACCCTCCTCCCCAATCATAACCAATTTGCCAAACTTAGACATTCAACTCACGCCTGAAAATGGTCAAGGAAGACGTCTATCATCAGATGTGAGTTCATATCAGTATCGAATTTCTCATTCTGTTTCATGGGGACTTTGAAGCTGATTTGGTCCTTTCTTACTCTAGGAACTCTCTCTATCTTCTCCCGCTAGTAACGGTCTGGCACATCTATTGGCTCCTCCCGGTCGACAATCACTCACTCCATCACACTCTGTGGCCGACTCATCAACTTCTTCTAACTTCCTTCTCACCAGCAAATTAAGACCAGCAAGTGCTCAGTTCTCAAGATTACGATCTCTCAAAGGAGTCGCGGGATCACCTTCACTCTTAACCCCTCCTCGAAGGTCTACCTCCAACTCTCCTTCTATGTCTGATTTTCCACAGGATTTGCTTGCCCATAACCGCCTTCGATCTCCTCTTTCGCCTACCTCCGATCTCATTTCTCGAAATTCATCCATGTCTCATCTTTATGATCTCAATGAAGCTTCAAGTTCTCAAATGACATCATCTGTCATTGATGAATCTACCCAAGTTCAATACAACACTAGTCTTTTTCATTGGGCATCTCTACGGAGGATCAGTAACAAGATCTATCCGAGTTCTAAACGACATCCCACTGCCGTCACAAAAGCTTCCTCGGCTGCCAACACGTTACTCGGGCTACCGACGGTGATCGCAGCGAGCGGAGTCATCGTGATTGGAACTGCCAAGGGATGGGCTATGGTCTTTGACTATGCCTCTAATCTGAAATGCGTGCTGGGTACGGATCTGATCGGTAAGCTATACGATACTCATTCACTTCAATCAACCTTATATGTATGCATGTCATCTTTGCTGACCTTTTTGTTTCGTGGGTGACACAGTAAGAGATGCTGGGGCGGTATCATCTTTAGCAATCTCTCATGATCATACCTTTGTGGCCGTTGGTCATACGATGGGCTACATTTACCTCTACGATCTAGCTAAATCGAAACAACCGGCAAGATCAGTAATCCCAACGAGTATGAGATTAGTTCAAGCTGGTCGATCAGAGGGTCACCTCACAGGTCATCGAATCATTCATCTCGGTTTCGTCGGACTCAGACACACAGCCATCGTATCAGCGGATGAAAGCGGGTTGGCCTTTTATCATCACTTGGGACAAGTTTTGGGTTTAGCATCCACAGACGTAATTAGGATCTTGGGAAAATATCCAGATACGACACTGAATCCAGTGAACCCGATCATCAATGGTATTGGGGCCGATCATCAACGAACTCATCTACGGCAAAACTCAGATTTATCAGTGATTAGCGCTGCCGGGAATAAGTCACGTAGATCGACCAAGATCTTTGGATCATCTCCTTTACCTCTTGGTCCATCACCACATCTTACTGATCAACACTCGCTGGTAGCTCTACTCACCCCAACCAAACTCATCATAATCGGTCTCAAACCCAGTGCTCGGACATGGTGGAGGTGTATGAGGAATATCACTCATCCTAATCAATTGAATGAGTGTGGTAGTCTTTGTTGGTTTCCAAGTTCTTCGATCAAAGATACGACCGATCTCAAACGTTCAGTTGATTCTTCAACCTTCAAACCAGAGACGCATCAACCCAGCAATCCAGTCAATAGTGCGATGGACCCTCTATTGGCATTTTCATGGGGAAAAAATATTCGTTTTGTGACAGTAATGTCAGATGAAAAGATAGAAGAAAGTACTCAGAAGGACGAGTTAGCTCAAGAGGGGTTCTTGAACGGTATAAATCGTAGATTGATTAACAAAGTACCTAATCTTAGGTTTGTAGAAGGAAAGAGTTGGACATGCGAATCTACTGTACAAGCGATTCAGTGGCTAAATTGGAGGGTACGTTGGCTTCTCATATTTTTTAAAGATTTGATGATCTCATCATGCTGACTTTGGGGATGGGGTCCTTTTTTTCAGATCATTTGTGTTCTCACCTCTACTCATATTGAAATTATTGATACGCAAATCTGGCGTAGGACTGGTATGGAGTCTATCGATTTACGAGGAATTGTGAAATTGAACGTGTTCAGAGATAGCTTTCATCACACTCCATCTGGCTCCAAGCCGGTTTTGAGAGATATGGCTACTACTTCCGAGAGACTTACGAGCGGATCTCTGATGGGTAGCTTTAAAGCTTACAAGGGCAAAATCTTCCTCCTTGTAAGTCTATCTGTTGATTCCTATTTTTTTTCTCCTTCTCCATTTTTATGGATGTTCAGTAGTTTTTTTGTTGATTGAAAGGTGTGGGTACGTATCAGACGACTCATGATTTACGGCTTGGGATGGTCGTTTCATGGGCCGATCAAATCTTGCAATTGGTCGAAACTGGTTCATTGACCAAGGCTGTTGATCTTACCACAAGTTATTGGTTTGGACGAGCTGATCTTGAAACAATCGGATTACCAAGTGAAGATTCAGTAAGACAAGCCTTAGTAAAACCAAAGCTCAAGGAAATCATGCTAGCTTCCTTAGATTATATCTTTTCGGATCGAAGGATGGAAGATGATACTCACTATGACTCAGAAGGGCGTGGTGTAGATCGTACAGAACTATTCGAAGGTTTTGTTCGTAGTTGTGCGAAAGCTTGTATTGCGATTGAAGAATTCGAGTTTATCTTTGAAGATGCCTTTGAACGGTATTCTGATAACGGGATTGAGACTATCTTTTTGGAACAAATTGGACCATTTATCATTAGTTCTGAGATCAACACTTTGCCTACTCTCATCGTTCAACATCTCATCAGTCTACATCAGGATCGTGGAAGGTTCGAAACAGTTGAACAAATCATCTGGCATGTCGATCCGTCCTGTTTAGATATCCAACAAGCTCTTGATATTTGTTCTCGTCAACACCTATATGATGCTTTGGTATATGTTTACACCGAAGCAATGGGGGACTTTGTGGGTCCGTTGATAGAATTCGTACAACTCATTCGTACCATCCTACATGATCGTCAACAAGCTTATGAAAACTTGGAAGACGTCAATGGATCAACTGAATTACCATCTGAACAAGAGTATCAACAGATCAATCGGAAGACAGAAAGCATGGTATCCAATGCATACAAAGTTTACGCCTATCTCACCAATTTATTGACGGGGATTTCATATCCGAGCAAAAAGATCTATGAACCATCCAAGGCCAATACGGCTAGAATGTCGATTTATCAGTTTTTATTCTCCGGTCAATCCGTTCGTTGGCCAATGCCACATGGTACGCTAATCTTGACAGTCGGAGATGGTCAACAAGAACCCACTTATCCTTATCTAAGAATGTTACTCAAGTTTGACTCGGAAGCCTTCCTTGATACACTTGATGGTGCATTTGAAGATTCATGGTTACACGATCATCATACGGATGACAATAAACGAACAATAGTGAATCGACAGTTTATTGTGAACTTACTCTTGGAAGTGATCTCGACTGGAACCGATTTTACTTCAGCAAATCGAATGTTCTTGTACATCTTCGTAGCAAGGAATTTACCAAAATATTCACAATTCTTAAACCTTTCAAGCTCAACGATCCATTCAATCCTAGTCAATCTTTCAAACGATCTTGATTTAAATACAAGAGAAGATCGAGAATTAGCCGTTGAATTTCTTTTATCGGTTTATAATCCACCTGAAGATCTTGGAGGAGGAGATCTTTTACAATTATTTGAAGAAGCTGGGTTTTGGAGAATTTTGAGAAACTTGTATCGTACTCAAGGTAGATGGGATCAAGTTTTAAAAAGTTGTGTTGAAGATACTGAATGCGGTTTAGGAGTTTTCACTGAATTACCTGATATTCTGAAATCTGTTGACCAAAGTCAAGATGAAGAGATGTGTAAACTGGTGGATGAAGTGATCATGAATTCGATTCTTCAAATGATTGATATTAGCTTACCACTCACTTCATCACTTATCGACACCTTACGGCCAAGTCTACATACTGAAGTGGTTAACAAACTAGAGGGAGCGAAGGAAAAACAATTTGATTACCTACGCTCATTACTGGAACCTCGTGGACTTTCTGATTTCGAATCCGAGTTCTCACAAGGACCTATTCTACCTTCAAACCTAGATGACCGATCTAAATTGATCTATGTGAATCTCTTATGCGAACGTGAACCGAGCCATGTACTTGAGTTTTTGAAACAATCTGTTCCTTTAATCAAGGATGGGAATGAGATTGTGAATGCATGTAAAAAATTCAATATAGATGATGGATTAGTTTGGCAATTAGATCAAGTTGGAAAAACTAGAGTTGCGTTTGATGAATTGAGTTTGATTATGAAAGAACAAACTGACCAAATTCTTCAATCACTTGACTCAGAGAAAGTAGAAGACCAGGATCATCAATCGGCTCATCAACTAATCTCTTCTTTCACTCAACTTACTCTTGTGGCTATGGAAATATGTGTTAAGAATTCAGAGTGCACTCAAGATCAACTAACTGGAGAAGATTGTTGGTTCAATTTGTTATCATCTTTGATTCGATCGATCCAAACTTGTGCAAGTGTAGTACCAAATCAGCCTACCAATGTACGAAATCGATCACAGTCTATACAAGAATTAGATTTATCAAATGATCTTGATTTGAAAAGTTGGGTGGTAGATCAATTACGATCACTTTTACCTACCATTCTTTCTTCTTTGATTTCTCATACGAATTTTTCAAATCGAATTTCATTTTCAAATTTAGTTAGAAGATTAATTGAATCAACTGGTGAAAGAAGAATTAAAGAAAGCCAAAACCAAAGTAATGGAGAAAGTTCAAAAAGAGTAATTATGAATGGAGGAACAAATGAGTTTAGAAGTATTGTGATGACTATTTTGGATACGTATAGGTTTGAAGGTAGTGTTTTAGAAGTAACAAGTAGGTTAATTGATCGAGATTTATTTGAACATGTAAAAGAATTAAGTCAAGCGAAACAAAAAGGTATAAGACCTAATCAAAGGAATTGTTATTATTGTAAAAGGAATGTATGGGGAGAAGGAAGTTTGATGGTCGAAAGAGGAATGAAAAGGAGAGAAGAGATTGTAAAGAAAACAGAAGTGATTGAAAGATTGGGATTATTACCTAGATCCAATTCATATGGAGGACCGATTCGAAAGAAATCATTAAAAGGTAAAGAAGTGGATTTACCTGATGATTTTTTTACCAGACCCGGTGAGCAATATCATAATGAACCAGAAGGAGGAGGATATTTACAACCTGATCATCATCAAAATCATCATCATCAAAATATTTCATTAAGTAGATCACTTAATCATAATAGTTTAAGACCTCCTAGTCCATTTGCTTTAGCTCCACCACCTAGACGAGCTTCTTCACCTGGTGGTGGTGGTAGTCATGGTAGTTCTTCTCCTATTTCACGTCCGTGGCCATTAGCTTATGAAAGATTTCAAGAAGATTTAAATCGGATTGGAGGAAATGTAGGGGGAAGTAATTCAAGAGCAAGTTTAGGAGGAGGAGGAGAAAATCAAGAGATCATTAGGTCTAGATCACCTATAAGTTTTACAGAAGAAGAAGAAGCTAAGAGGAGAGGATTATCTGTTGATACTGGAGTAGGATTACATCAAGGAGTCAATCATGAAAATCAAAATAGGGAAGAGGAAGGAAATGAGAATGGGAATCATATTGGAAAGAATTGGAAAGGGTTTAGTGGTGTTGTTTTAGGTGGGGATGGTAGAGTTGCTCATGAAGAATGTTGGAGAATGTTTACTGGTTATTATCAACGTTAAGAATTATATAATTTAGAGGAGATTATAAATATCAGATGAGTAGGAGATTAGGGTTGGTTGGATGTTGAACTTTGTTTCAGTTGATTGGTTTTTGTGAATGATGATTATGTTTTTTGTTGAGGTTTTATGAAGTTTTTTCGAGAAAATGAAATGATTTTTTCGCAGAATAGCTTTGGTAACTGTCTTTGACATAGAAGGAACACGTGAGTTGATTTTTTCAATACAAAAGTGAGTGGGAGTTAGTTGTTTTGTGATGGGATGTGAGAAATCAAAACAATGTTTGAGAAGTTTTTTGAGGATATATAACTTATTAAGGGCTTTCAATGGTCACACTATATCACTGAATACTACAGCAGTCACTTCCCTAGCCTCATGATTGATGAGGGCAGTTGAAGAAGGAGACAGGTTGAAAGTTTGGTGAATGAGCGTTGGAATTGAAGCTCAAGGCATCATTATGGATGTTTTTAAAATACCGGTGCAAAGTCTCAATCATGCTGTCCCAATCCATGGAGCCAGATTGAGCCTCTGTGTGTTTTGTGCTTCAAAGGTCTCAACCCACATTCTGAATAACACCAGATAACTATGGTGGCCCTGAGGCAAAATCACCGCCACCCCTTTCTGTGATTTGCGTTTTGCGTTTTGTGATTTGTGATCTTTACTTGCATCATTCAAAAACGTCCCCAGCGCATTCTTCAGTCTCAGTGTTGACTATATACCACTTTCTTAACCTTCACTCTGTCATAGATTGCTGACCCAGATATCCAAAAGCGGATTAAACGCGTTTTTTTTTCTCTCAAAAATTCAAATTACACACAATAAGTTTGAATCTCAAAATTGAGTTGAACCCATAAATCACAGCCTCTTATCATTTTGTATCAATTGGAGACTGACAACTTGATATTTTTTCTTCAAGAAACTGCATCAAATGACCATCTTCATCTGAAGAATATGTCGACTTCTGCTGTTTTACAACTGGATCATGGTAAATAAACCACATGAGACTCTAGTAAAACCGTTATTAGAATCAAAATCAGATAGGTTGGCTATTTTTCATGGGTGAATCAAAAGCAGTTAATGTGATCCTGATCAAAGTATCAAAAATATCTATCAAGAGTTTGGATCTATTTAGTATATAGTACAATGAGATTAAATAACAAAGAGGAAGGCTTTATCCTAATTTGAGAAAATTAGTCAATGATATGAAATTCAGTGAGTGAGCATGGTGATTGAGAGCAACAGTTGATAAGTTTGAGGAGAAGTCCTACTCAACTGTGTTCTCCTAAAGACTTGAACAATGAAGATTGCCCCAGCATTTGATGTAACACTGGTGTAAAGCTTTGGGTCCATGTTTTGATGCGGTTGGCTGAACTTTGGAATCGACAGAAGTAACCTACATTTTGCTATGGGTGATCACTAAGCAGTTAATGTTCAATATTGATCTTACCCCAAATCGAGTCGCCGATCAAGTTTCTTGAGGTGATAATCTCCCTGATAGACGCGTACCTTGATGGCACAAGTGTATGCAGCGACACGATCGAAGTAGAATCTTCAAAATTTGATTGAGATGAGATGGCGACCAATTCTCACCTCTCCTTAGCTTCACAAAGCCCTCAGAGGCCTCTCCTATGTCCCATTTCATGATAAGTAGATACCATAGAAGTTCCCAGTTCATCATTGATGTCGCTTCCTTGGATTGATGACAATCGCTTGTCTAGGATGTCCTCGTCTTGAAAAATTGCCAATCGCACGTCTGATGCACTTGCAAGGTTTGATTTGTATGTTGTGGTCTACATCAAGATAGAATTGATTTCTGGGGTTTTGAATGGATGAGTGAGAAGCAGTGAGGAAAGTATCTGGGACATTTTTGAATGATGCGAGTAAAGATCACAAATCGCAAATCACACAAAGGGGTGGCGGCGATTTTGCCTCGGGGCCACCGTAGATAACACCTGCTTTCGCATCACTTTTGTGATCTGGCAGACTGGTACCGTGTTCAGCGGTGATCTCCCAAGACCCAAATTTCTCCCTCAAGACAGTAGTTTGCCCAGAGGATAGAAGTATTTAAATTTCTTTGGACAATCACCCTGGAATGACGACTCAAGCGTAGCTTGTGTTTATCGAATTTTTGTAAGGTGGGTCCTCTCGCTCCACTTAAAATACTTCAAGCGATGCAAAAAGACCTAGCTTAGCCCAAGACCCACCAACCGCAGGCGTCCCCCCACTCGTGTCATATTGTTCCCGACCGAGTTTGCCTTTCAGTATGTCTTTATATCACGGTGAACTCCATACGTCGTCATCTCATCACCATTTGTCAAAGGTGATTCAAGTGTAGGTGAAGTCTGATGATTTGAACATCAGCCGCAGTACGGGGGGATCTTTTTGCACAACTGCGAAATCGCATGGTCCTTGGTTTCAGATCATAACCATATAAAGACCCAGATCATCATCATTGGATTCTGGAATTCCTTGCCTGTATCATCTCTGCAATCACAAGATCACGGATGTACCACTTCCATGGGTTTCCAATGAGGCAGGAGGTCAAGCCAAGGCTGATGATACTCATATTTTTTGTACTATCTTCTTTAGCCCCCTCATTTACCTTTGGGTTCCTTAATACCAACGAGAAAATTTTCGCTGCTCGTGAACCTAAGTTGGCAGAAGCCTCCTCTTCCGCCTCAAATGTGAAGCATCGGATCAAGTATCCAAATGATGATGGTGTAGAGCTAAACGATCTTTCATATCATACAAAGGGCTTGCCACTTTGTAAGTTCCCACCTCTGACTTCGCATATTTTAGGTTGTAAAACACGTTTCCTTATTGGATTTTTGGAGAAACTACAGTATCCGTAAAATATTCAACTTTGGAAGGAAGAGTGAAGACAAGCGATATGTTGGTCCATTGATTATCCATTTGATTTGAACAACTCGTCTATCTTCAGCTTATCGGTTCTTTTGGGGCGTCCATAGAGAAGAACAAAGGGCGCAGACCGTTAGTTTGGCAGCCGATAGTTTCTTGCCCAGGAATGAGAAATCATTGATGGAAGAAGGCTCAAGTACAGTGATACTCAAGAGATGGCAGGGTTTTTTATTCAAATGTATGTGTTGATATTTTTTTGCACCACCAAGTGAGGTAGAATAACTTGCTGGTATTCCATAGACCCAAATCTCCAGACAGTAGAATCAAGATTCAACAACGAGGTTTTGCATCATCTTCGAGGATTAATTGGGGGGGATCAATTATGTTCGATGAACTACTTGATTGATCATACGCATAATCTCATTGCAGCAAACGAAGAGACCCGCACAGATGGTACAAAATATTTGATCAAAGTTTTTGAGGCATTCATCGCGAGTGAAAATAATCCAACTCACTTTGCCCGACTCAAGGTTGCTTTTTCTAATCTTTTAAGAGAATCAGAACCAGATGACTATTACCAACCCCAATGTATGTGGGAGATACACAAGATGGTGGCATCTATTGAGAGCAAGTTTCTATCACATCCAGACACCGCCTCGAGTGTGTGGAATCCAGATTTGCCTCCGAAAAGCTTTATTATACGAGGTTAGTGCTTCATGATCAGTTTAATTGAATTGATCAGTTCTCAAAGCCATTTTTCCATTTGCTTTAGATCTTTATGACCCGGTTCTGGCTTTGGAAACAGGTAATGCTCCCTCAATGTTTCTGGGTGGTAGATCAAATTTGCTTACGATCATTGGATCTCAAACTCGAATTCTTCCGAATATACAAAATTTCATCCGAATCAGCAACACTCGAAAGTGTTCTTGAGATCGCTTTCATAGAGGCGCCGAGAGCTCACTATATATTGACCTCTGGTGGAAAACACATGACGGCTCGTGAGTTAAGAAGCGCAAGTGATGTTGCGTTGAAAGAAACAGTGTCAGGGATCGAGAAAGCTCTTCAAAAGAAAGAAGGTAGGATGAAGGATCTGACTTCAGCAGATGAGATGACACTTCTCAAGGCACTTTATGCTATGAGTAAGGAGTTGAAAGATCGTGTGAAAATCGGGTTCATAACTTCCGAATCCACTACGAGTGGAGGTAGCAGAACGCATATAAATCTTCCAAACTTATGTCCAGAAGGGACAGAAATGGCCAGATCATTTTCAGAGCTCATAGACGTAGCTCAAGGGCCAGTCAATGCAATAGGAACTCATTCTTGGAGGACCAGGATGAAGATTGCTCTCAGAGCATGTGAGTTTCATGCACATTTGTTCATATGATTTTAGGGAAGATACTTATTTCTCAATTCATTTCAGTTACACCGGAGCGTCTCCTTCAACTGCATCACAAGGAACCAGTATTTCGACAAATGTCTGTGTGGAAAAACCTTCCATCTCTCCCAGAAATCAAGAATCTTCTCAAACAAATTGCTGACCCCAAGCTACTTAAGCCGGATGGATCAATCAATCAATCTCGTAATCATATAGAGATTTTGCACAATTTCCTCGTTTATCTTGCAATAATCGGATTTGAAAATGACAGTTCCTCTATACTTCTTGAAGTGGTCAAGAGTGCAAAAATATTAGCTAGAAACAATGGTATCTTCGGGGATCTTGATATCGCTTTGACTGCAAGGTTCACAGCTCGTTATCCAACATTGGCACAGTATCTAGAGATCAATAAGCCTATCCATAGATCTTTACCAAAGTTTCATCTTCACTTTCCCCCAATTTTGCAGAATGTCAAAGATCATCCATAGCGGGCCTCAAAGGATTGCCCCTGGAATGTAACAAGGTTTGAACTTGTGACATGGCGGTTGGAGTACTCAGTAGACTACATAGTTCTGATACATTATCCGCAGTTGTTTCCTCTTTTCCTTTGTGGATCTCTCTCAGTCTTTTACTTCTATTTGTGTTCTTTTCTATTTGCTGGTTTTCTGAATTTTGAGGGTCAAACTAGACATCAATCAAGGGGATCTAAATAAATTCCTACTCTTCATGAGCTGAGCCTTAGTCTAGAACTCAGTGAAGGTGGAGATTACACTCCACCTTACATGAAAATATCAAAATGTTGGAACAGTCTGAAATCAGATAGCAACTGGCTTCTCTGAAATTCAAAATCATGTTATCATTTATCTTTGGAGGACCCCGGCAAAACCCCAGGGGTTATCTAAAATCACTGATGCCTTCTTCATACCAAAAAAGCCCAAATTGTTCAAACAATTCCAGTTTCATATGTATTTCACCCCAGGACTTGGGAGTATAATCAGCTGATGTTTGGCTCTCATTCATGCTCACACCCGGTACCTTTTGCATGCCTCAGGGTGTGCCCAGGGCCATGGCCTACTCCCGGTATGGTATGCCATTGTAAGGCGCTGATTAGGGGTGTACCATGACACCACAATAAATCCCTGATCTGGGCTGTAGATTTGAGACACCATAACAGTCTATTGATTGTTCTCCAATCCCCAAATCTTGCTCAATGCAACTCCCAGTTGATGCAACAGATTCAACCCATCTTGACTTCAAATAAATCTCACTCATCATTATAAAATGCAATCAGAGCTTTAAAATAGATTTATGAGAGCTTCAACAATAACGGGCTACAAATCCTGGCTTCAAATTGAGCAAATTTGGATTTACTGGGGTGTCAAATTAATCTGGATGCAATGGTTGGGCCTCCATATGTGTACATGAGATTGGTCATGGTGGGTTTATATATGCGAGGAATGGGGTTGAGCAAGTGTAGTGTTTTGGAGTGGGCTATATATATATTGCCCAATTTGCAGTTGGTTGAAATTTGAAGTTGACTACAAAAACATTTGGCAATGGGGACAACACCGGAACCGCTCCGATACCGCTCCGATACCGCTAAATGTTGCGGAGCGGTCACGGTATTGATGGGGACCACCACTGCAGCAAAAATCTGTGGCCCTATTTCCAAATCTGGCAATAGCCCCAATTTGTAGCCCACCACCGTGGATGCTTTGATCAGACCTGGAAATGAAATGTTTATCCATTCAATATTGTGATTTGTTCATCACACTTTCATGATTATCTCTCTGTAATCTTGTCAATGTCTTCAACTCAATTTTTGGAATTTGAATGAAAGTGAAGATGATTTAAAGATAAAAATTTACATCTGTCTGATCTATGAAGATCTATGATTGTGTTTCTTTATGTATTCATTTGTTGATTCAATGGTCCCAGTACATATTTGAACTTGTTGCACAAGCAATTCCCACCTGTGAGCTTCTTTTGATCAACATGATTGTTCAAAAAAAATAGTTTCATCTTTGACCCAACTAGATTTGCTCTATGTTGACTCACAATGACCCAACATACTGATGTTGTATCATCATTCAAGTAAAGGGAAACCATGTTCCCAGATAAAACCTCTGAAACTCCCGATTCCTATTGCAAGCCAGGGTTTACGCGTCCTGAAAACAAGAACCCAGGTATGCACGCTCAGCCTATGTAATTATATCTCAAATCAAGATAAACATTCAAGAGGAAACACAATTAAAAAAATAACCAAACATCAAAATAGAAGGTAGAACTTCTGAGTGTAAGATACTATAGTCAAACCCACACAATTGCATACCTGCACAGCTGCATAACCTGTGATGATGCATAACCCGTGATAATTCATAGAAAAAAAATCTTAATCTTGATGCTTTTTACTGCCAAATTTGACAACAGAATTGCATAACCCATGAAAATACATAGCAAAAGTCTTCCACCCAAATTATGTGATTGTGTGGGTTCAACTGTAATTGACTGCAATGCAAGAGTGTGAAGATCAAAGCCCAAAAATATTTATCACACCAAATCAGGATCAACCACACCTTGTTCTTCATTGATGGCAGCTTGAACCACATCATCAGATGGGAACTTCAATTGATAAGCCACCTTCAGATCTTTCAAGTGATTTTTAACATTGAAAATTTGATATTGTGGTTCACAGTGTTGTGGTATTATAAAAGTTTGTAAAACCTGCATGTAAATTGTTTGAACAATGAATCAGCAGTTTCCCAAGCTTGAGAGCTAATGCTTTACAGCTTACATGGAGCTAGAACCGCTTCCAATTTGTTAGATACAGATGTTCTCTTGTTGATGGTTGAGGTTGCAATATTAATCAGGGTGAGAGTCCGTTCGGCTGCCTTCGACCTCGCAGGCGTAGACTTGCGAGGCGTCTACCTGCGGATCCGCAGGTAGACCATGTCTGCCACAAAGCGTGTACCAGGGTTTGGTGCGTTCGGTACACTCGACTTGAAGTGTAGTTGACCTCGCAACTTATGGGTTTTCTCCCTTTGCAAAATCTGATGTCGCGCTCCTGGTTTCAGGTCTATGGCACTAGCCAGGTCAACCTGCAAGATTCGACCAAAACGTCAAACCTGGCAGGTCGACAAATTTGGCTGGCCGACCTTGAGGTGGACGCCTCAAAGGTCGACCGTGGCTTCTGTACCAAACAGCAGAATTTCAAGCGTACACTTCAAACTGCCTCGAAGCGTACGCTTGAGATTTTGGCTGGGTCAACCTGCGAGGTCGGAGGCAACCGAACGGACTCTGAGTTTCCTGAACAAAGTCCAGTTGGGTTGAATGTTTGCATACTTACAAGATAGACAATACTGACAATCCTGGCACAGGTTGATTGATCTGTATTGGCCCATAACAAGTCCGCTTCCAGATGAACCCCCAAAATCTTGCATTGATTTGCAATCTGCAATTGTGCATATCAGCAGACAAAAGTTATAGGTTTTAGGAGAGCTGTAGTGCCAAAATGTCTTGATGTTGGGAACAGTGATATCTACTACTTCATCATTCTGAGCATCATGAATGCTGGTCAAAAGCTGTTTGATGATTGATGCAGAAAATGTGAAAATTTAGAATAGTCAAAAGAGCAGATGAAAAACAGCTCAATAAATGTTGGATGATTCATCAATGGATTGCATTCACAGTTATTGATGAGCTTTTCCAATATTGCCCATATATTCATTTTGATATATCCACTCAACTGTGTAGTACTTCAATCACAATGTAATTCCTATTTATGTAATCTTCCAAAGCACCCAATGTTGTTTATATTCACCTGTTTAGCAACATCAGTTTTTTTTCATGGGTGAAGTGCGTTTAGGGGCTTTTAATTACTTTCATTGCTACAAGTATTTACTGCTTATTACACCCGCCAATTTGGGGTATAAAAGACCAGCAGCTCATGGCAAGATTAGAACTATCCTTTATTGAACCAAATCTGACTAAATGTGATTATTACCAATCTCTGCCCTATAAATCCCACTTTTTATTTGGTCTGTGTCAATTATCTTGTTAGAATTACCTTGACTTGAGCCTCATGAGAATCTCTTTATTTCAAGCTCAATCTCCAAAACATTTTCCTACCCTTTGAACAGTCCTCTCAATTTCTTCTTTCCTCAGACATTTTGATGTTTGTTTTTGCTTTTTGCCTCCCACTTATTGGGATTGGAGGTACCCACACAGGGTCCAAATTTTGCACTCACGGCGTGTTAGCAGAGCATTTTCCAAGATTGTGTTGAGATTGTTGTATGTTTGGTGCCAGGCTGAACTTTGTGCAGCCTTGGAACACGCTCTTTACACCTGGCTGGAGTTGAGCCAAGTCAATCAACAAATACTCAGTATGAGTAATACCTATCTTGATACCAAACATGTATGATTCCTTTGCTAATGTGCCGTGAGTATAAGATTTGGACCCTGTGCCAGCACCCATTTTACCCTCACCCAATTTGCAAGTAAAGTAGTGCATTGCTCAATTTAGGTAAGATGGAAGAATCTTGGTGCAGGCCTCTCCCCCTCTCCAGTTGTTTCAAAAAGATACGCGGGCGAGCCAGTGTAATCTACCCGTTTCATGTTATTTCCTACCGAGTAGTACCGGTGCGAGGCCTTGCAGAATTTGAGGGTGAACTCCATACGTTGGCAGACCTCAGCATGGTTCGTCAAGAGTGACTCAACTGTGGGTGAAGTCTGACGAACTGACTGATAGCCGCAGCAGTGCGGGGAAAATATTTTCCCGCAACGCTCTGAGGTCGTCGTCGCATATGGGTCTGGTGAGAGGTTTTGGTTTCGAATGTATAGCATATAAAGACACAGATCATCATCGTTGTATCCAAGACTACATCACCGGCGTCTCTGTAATTACCTGGATCAGTGATGTACCACTTTCATGGGTTTGCAAAAAGGAAGGAGGTCAAGCCGAGGCTGATGACCCTCATCCTTTTTATGCTTACATGCCTAACTCCCTCGTTCATCTCCACTGGGTTTAATTTGATCAAGAACAAAGAGAAAATTCTGCCAGCCTGTGAGACCGATCTCACAGAGGCCTCCTCCTCAACTTCGGAGCATTTGATTAGGATTCCAGAAAATGAGATCGTGGAGGTTAACGATCTTTCATATCGTTCAAATTCAGACGACTTGCCAATTTGTGAGTTACACACCTTTGACTTCACATAGTATATGTTCTTCCAATTGTTCTCTCATAAAATCCTCGGATTCATTTCAGTATCCATAAATTATTCAACTTTGAAAGGAAAAGGAAAGTACTTGACAAGCGATCTGTTGGTCTAGTTTTTATTGATCCGATCGAGATAAGTTGTAATTCTCAACTTATCAGTTCTTCGTCGGCGTGTACAGAGAAATTCAAAGGCAAAATACCATGGCATTGTACTCGGGAGCCGATGGGTTCTTGCTCAGGCATGAGGTGTCATTGATGAGAAGAGGATCAGATGGTGCATCGCCTAAGCGGCCATGGCGGAAGTTTTTATCCAAGTGTTTGTTGTGATTTTTTTGCATCACAGAATTAGGTAGAATAACATGTGTGTTTTCTTATAGATCCAAATCTCCAGACTCAGTTCTCAGAATATAAGATTAACGGAGTTATTTTACAACACCTTCAAGGATTGATTGGAGGCGATCAAATATGGTCCATGAACTACTTGATTGATCATATGCGTAATCTCATTGCAACAAAGAATCAAGGTATAAGGTTCATGATCAACGTTTTCAAAGAGTTCATCACGAGTGAAAGCAATCCACTCCACTATGCACGAGTTAAGGTTGCTTTGTCTACACTCCTAAGAAACTCAGCACCAGATGAATTTTATCAACCACACTGGAAGTGGGAGGTACACAAGATGGTGGCATTTATTGAAAGAGAATTTCGATCTCATCCAGAAGCGGCCTCGAGTGTCTGGAATCCAAATCTACCCCCGGAAAGCTTCATTATAAGAGGTCAGTGATCGATGATCAGCTTGATTTAATTAATTAGTATTCATCATCATTTTTCGTTTGCTTTAGATCTTTACGACCCTATTTTGGCTTTGGAAACAGGTAATGTACCCAGCTTTGATGTTTCTAGGTAGTGTGCTGGATCCCTGGATCCTTGCAGGTATAGAATCTGAAACTCAAATCATTTCCAAAATACAAAATTCCATCGGACTCAGCGACACTCGAAAGCGTCCTTGAGATCTCTTTTATAGAGGCGCGTAGAGCGCACTATATAATAACCACTGGCGGAAAACACATATCGGCTCATGAGTTAAGAAACGCAAGTGCAGATGAGTTGAAAGAAACGGTTTCGGGAATTGAGAAGGCTCTTCAAAAGAAAGATGGAGAGATGAAGGATCTAACTTCAGCAGATGAAATGACACTTCTCAAGGCACTTTATGTCATAAGAAAGGAAATGAAAGGTCGTGTAAAGATTGATATCATAACTTCTGAGATGACTCTTCTGGGAGGTAGCACAACGTGTATATATCTTCCAAAATTATGTCATGAAGCAACAAAGATGGCCGTAGCGTTTTCAGAGCTTGTTGACGTAGCTCATAGCCCTGTGACTTCAATAGCCATTCATATGCGTGCAACGAGGATGAATATTGCGCTCAGAGCATGTCAGTTGGACATCTTTTCATTTTATCTTCAGGAAGGATACTGACTTTTCAATTGATTTCAGTTACACCTCAGCGTTTACTTCAACTACATGGCAATGAGCCGGTTTTTCAACAAATGATTTTATGGAAAAATCAACCATCTCTCCTAGAAATCAAGAATCTTCTCAATGCAATCACCGAACCCAAGCTACTTGAGCTGGACGAGAGATCCATGGATCAATCACATACTCTTGTAGAGATTTTTCACAGTTTCCTCATCTATCTTGGAATTGTGGAGTTTGAGAATGTGAAGAACTCTTCAGTACTCTATGAAGTGGTGAAGACTGCCAAAATTCTGGCTCAAAAAAATGGCATGTTTGTGGATCTTGAGATTGCTCTGACTGCAAGGTTAAAATGTCGATATCCATGGTTGGCACATTATTTCGAAATCACTGGCGCTATCCAAAAATCCTTACACAAAGTTTGATTTAAAATCATGTTATACTGTTTCTCTCTCTATGTGAAAAATATTGTTATCAGTCTTGATTGTGGATGCAAAAAAAGAGAATTGTGATTTGTGTGGAGGCTTCCCTTGAACAAGCTTCAGAGATATGGTGAGTTGTTCCTAAAAGATCGCGGGTTCTTGTGAGACATGCGAGGGCCCAGGAGCTTTGTTAGCTTTTGTCATGACCGTCATGAAGACCAGTACACTTTCTCTTTTATCGTGAGTTTACTTGGACTCCAATTGCCAAGTAAGTTGTGCCAAAAGAGTCAAGACATCTGACACGGTCATTTTTTTAAAAAAGTGCATACTGGCTGAATTGCATGATCAGTTAAAACACTATCTAGACAAGCTACATAAAGAGAAGACAAGTTACCTTATAAGGGAGACGGCCATCTGATCGGTGCAAAGGAAGTCAGTGTCTTTGAGAAACCTTGACCAAACTTGACAAAGTCCCTGGCGCCAAAGTTTGATCCTGACTCGGGTCAAGATCTCACGCACCCGGGTTGATGACATGCTCATGCTCACGGTCTCACGGCCCTACATACACATGATACACAACGAGCGAATAATTATGAGCAATCCCAAGGAGAACAACCAAGCTTCAACTCTATCAGCGTTATCTAGAAGTGTCCATGTCCAGATAAGACTTCATTGTTTTGTATCAGACACGGAACGCTCAGCTGCCTCATCATGATCGCCAACCCTGTAGTGCTGACGACTTCCTCCACAATTTCAATCGAAGGCGACCTCTCGGAAGACGGACAGTCTGATGACCTTTCTGATAGCGATGAACCAGTAGTGATACCGCCAACTTGGACTTCACTTCGATTTACACATCTAGTCATTCTCATTCCACTCTCCTTGCTTATCGTTCCAGTTCTCGCGTTACTACCGATTTCTTCGTGGTATTCAAATGGACTCGATTCATATTATTCATTCTTCAAAACTTTCTTTACACCTTTCTGGATGGGATGTTTGGGGTTTCTAGCTTGTTTTGGATTGAAGAAATCGATCGTCGAGAGTTTGATTCAATTCCTCTCTCGAAGACAACATCGTTCACATTCTTCGAGGAACGCTTTATATTTAGCACTCTGTCTGATTTTCCAAGTTACTTTAACCGAGTTACTCAGATTAGCTATTTTGATCAATCAAAAGGATCGAAACCTTGAGTCTCGACCTTCTTTGAGCAATGTAAATTTTCAGCATGATTTAAGGAGCTTTCCTGCAAGACAAAATTCTACATTTGATTGCAACATCTATTTCTTCATCGCCTTTTGGGTAGGATTAGGATGGAGTCTCTTAGAGCTCCTTGTACTGGGTTGTTCTGACTGGATACATCAGGTTTTGCTATACAAGCATGTACTTTTGGAAAATGGAGAGGAAGAAGAGGAATCTGGGATCCCGGGGAAAGGAAAGTGTTCACGAGTTGTGGAATCGACAAGTCAACTTATCTCTGCGGCCGAAGCTGATCATCTCGGTATTGAAGAGCCACTGCTGTTTTTGAACGGTCAATCTCCAAACCTCTCAAAAACTACTTCGACTGCTCATGATCACCTTATGTCAAAAGGGCCTCCGGCTTCAAATAAAAGAGTCTTCCAATCTTCATCGGATGTCAGTCGAACACCAGACACTGCTACTTTTTCAATGAGTACAGAAGGTACTCCCGTCAAGTTGACATCCGCTATCAAGTCCAATGTTCAGATTGGAGAAGGAACTTATCATGTGATAGAAGCCGATGCAGCCAACCTCACTGGACGCGAATCTTCACAAGATGAAGACGTCGGTGAAATCGAACAGCTGCGGGCTGGGATGGAATCCCTCGAGAGGCAGTCTGTCGAGCAAGCCATTGGGCTTGCCCTTTGGCAAATCCCTTGGTTTATTGTTTGGATATGGCGATTAAATTCGTAAGACAGTCTCATACTTGGATTTCCAGATAATCGACGCCTCTGGATGATGTATTCAGACTTGAAACTGACTATTGTTCCTTTGTATTTGATTACCTTGTGATGAATCTTTCAAAGAGCCTTGTTGACTGTCACTTTATCCTTGATCTTAGCTAAAGGAGTATTTCCAACTCAAAGCAACCCAACTGCAACAAACTCTATTAGTTATATGATTCTGGTCATCATCTTCAAATCAGTAATCGTAATTCTTTGGTCGTTTCAAGCAAAATCTATTGGGGTTGTAAAATTGACCTACATAACCCTTATTATTTGTTTGATTGGCTTTGTGGGATGTCTTGGTCTTTGGGGTTTTTTGACATGAGAAATGGTAAGGGTCAACAGATTTGATTTCAATATAATTTTGATCACTTCCCAAAGAAATTTCCTATTTGCTTATGTGGTTTGTTACCAATTGTTTCAGGTAGATAATCTCAGGAATGTATCATAGGTAGACTTTCTCAATGTTTTCAATGTTTGAAAAATAGAGAGGCTATTTTTTTGGATGAAGACAATATAAGCATTGCATGTTGTTCATAGTAGATTTATGTCAGAAAGAGGAATTGTATCATATCAAATAAGTGGAAAGATAATTGAACTGCTTTTTGCATTTGAAATTAACCTTTTCCAAAACAAGATCTCTATGATGGAGCAAGGTTCAAGTGCAATCCCGAAAGAAAGTGGTGGCCCTCTGTAAACGCCTTTGTGCAAGCATGTCCGTTAGGAATTCAGGGTAAGTACAAAGTCATAGATACCATTCAATCACATCTCCTCCTGTTTGATCTTGATCATACCAGAGACATATTCATGCTATCTTGTGTTATATGAATTTTCTTTGTAAATTTTACAGCTGTAAGTCTTCATTGATATATATGAATAGAAGAGGAACTTTAGGTAACTCAAAATGGATTGAGATTGACTTGACAAATGATTTAGAGGACAAATCATCCAGCAATCGCAACAAAAGGAAAGACTAAATCAAGTTTCACAATCATCAAATCCAAGGATGCAGCAAAAGAAATCTGCAAGTTCATCAAAAGAAGATCCTGCAAAGTCAACAACCAGCATTATTGTTGGACAAACCAGTCAGCATTAGTCTTTCATTCACCACTTGAGACTTATTCTTAATTTTTGTGTGGTCTTCATTCTTTCCCTTCTCAGATCTCCTTTCAGCCAGTTATGCAAGAGTTCTACACGGTAACCCTCAAAAAGCTACTGTACTTGCAACTTGACCAATAACACTCTGTTGTGCTGGTATCTCAGTGTGCCTTGTAGTTTTGAAGAAAACTGATTTGCCTCAAATTTACCTGACTTGACATAGCAGATATTCACTATGTGTTTCCCCCAACCTCACAATTTATATTACTGGACCAAAGGCAAACACCATATGGATTCCTCAAGATTGCTGTGCTATGTTGAAAGCTGTGATCCAGGAACAGTACATCAGGGCAATTCTTGATCAACTTGTTGTCAAACATGCTCAAGCTCAAAAAAATGAGCCACTCTTGAATTGGAATTTCCAACTTGATTCTTCTGAATGCTTGTCATAAAATCCTCTCTGCCTTATCTGAAGATTCTATTTGATGCTTTTGTTCCAACTTCTTCAACTTCATCTCTACCAAATCCAAAAAAAGAAAATCAGTTTTTTGTACTCTTTTTGAAAATTTCAGCTGCTATTTTACCTTCTTCTTGCAATTAAATTCTCTGATATCCACCATGTGTAGACTCAGAGGTTCAATTTGATTTTCTCACTTTATCTCTTGAATTTTTTTCTACCAAATTCAAGCAAAAATACATTTTTTTTGATTTTTTTGAGATGTTTGATTGCTCCCAATTGTCCAAGAACACCCATTTGAGGGTCCTTATTTAAATGGAAGGAATTTTGGAATTCTTTACAAAAAAAAGGGCCTTTGGAAACAGGTATGAATCCAAGAGATTTTTTTGAAAACCAGCAAAGATTGTGTAGATAGGAGGGCAAAATTTTGGGAAATCTATTAGGAAGAATAGGTATGATTGCTTGGTTTTTTCAAACTGAAATCACAATAAGAGGTTTTTGCTAGAATTGGGTAATAGAGCCCTAATGACAATTTAATGTATACAGACCATAGTAGAACATTTTTGTAAGTACATATGCAATTGGTCCAGAAGTAATAAAAAATCTACTATGAGGCAGATAAAAATAATACAGAAAAGGGAGAGGTGGGTGGGACCAAAGATTTATATGAATTGACAGAACAATTACTACAAGAAATATAATTTTTTCCAGGCAGAACACAAAAGTATTGATGTTGAAAAATCCTGAGACACCAGGAAGAGAGCAAAAATTCTAAAAATCTGCATCTTGTTCCTGGATGTTGGAGCTCCATTATGAGTACTTTTTTTATTCTACATGAAGATATTTGTTCAATGTACTGACAATAAATGTTTAAAATTATCAAAGAACTACCTGTAACAATACTTGAAATTTGGCCCATGATTGTGAAGACAACATTCTGCAGCACTTTAAAAACACCAATAACTTTTGCAATTCTACTTCAAACATCTTGATTTTTGGTTCACTAGAGAATATGTGGGCATGCCCACAACAGGTGAGCTGTTATAAAGATTTTTCATTATCATTATTATTACCATTGAATGCAAAACTCCATTCCCAATAAATTCCACTTGAAATTTCTTAATTTGATTGGCTGAATTGAATTTAATAAGGAAATTGATTTCAATTTGTGATTTAATATTTGTAAACTTGCTAAATGTTCATTTGTAAGTGAATGAAATAAGTCTAGTTTCAGTTGTTGTTGTTATTGGTTGATCCTAAAGAAAAGAAGTTGAAATTGACTATAAAATTACTTGATGTTTGTTTTCTCTTATAAGAAGTGGGATACGACTAAACAATGCAATGAGATATCCATATACAAGGAGAAAAATGATGATTTGAAATCAATTGAAAGACCTCATTGGCCATAACGGCTGTGATTATGGTTTAGTGGTGAGAGACAGAAGCGCAAAGTGACCATTTTCATACTTGTTGAGTGATCAAGTGATTGCACTGGTCAGGCGGCGTTGTTGAAATGGCTGGGAAAAGAAAATTTAATCAATGTGGCCCTTCCAACTGCATATAGGCTTTCAAATGGTGACTATCAAAGATTGAAGGTTTGCAAACAAGGAAAGGAATTTGCTTCAAGAAGCACAGCCAATGACTAACAAAGCCAAAAGGGCTCTTGTTATTTGAAGTCCAAACAAAAACAGAATGCGAAAAGCAGAAATAGAATCACAAAACAATTACTATCTGAGCTCCAAAAGCAAAATTGAAAGAAAGTGCAAAGTAAAAGCACATTCACAAACCAAAAGATGAACTACAGCTGAACAGGAACAATATTGACATGATGTGGTCTTCACTTGGACAGAAGACGGTTGGGCCGTCTCATGCAAGTCTGGTGTATGTTTTTAAATTTAGATTTGAGGGCTAAACAGATCCTCTTTAAACATTTTTGAGGAAGTAAGGTGTTATCTTGGTATATAAACAATCCATTTCTGTTTGAAGGGTTCTGCATTTGAAACAGCTGTACCACTCTGCTTTTTCTTGGCATCAAGTTGGGTTTATTAGGGATTGGGCACAGCAAAATTTTCTAAAACCTCAAGCTGAGAGCCGGCCCCGGATATCCGTCGGGTATCCGACGGATACTCCGACGGATCCGGATGTTGGAAGGGTCCTTGGAGCCATCCGGGGTGCCGGATATCCGGCCGGTTTGGTAGTCGGATGAAGGGCCCAAAAAAATCAATGTTCGCCGGATATCCGGTATATTTGCAGGCAAGCATCGGCGCGTGTATTGGCGTGTATTTCAAGTAAATTCAAGACATTGAAGAAGAAAAATTGAAAAGAAAACAACGTAAAAGAAAAGAGGAAAAACAAGACATGAGGAAACTATTCATTTTCACTTTCCTCATCACCGTCCTCAGTAAGACCAGCAAGTTTTAAAGGCCCAAACACGCGGTGCCAATCTTTGACACATAGAAGAGTCTCAACATGGAGACATGAGAGGCTGGTACGCTGAGGACTCAAAATCCTTTTGGTTTTGTTGAATTGTCCCTCTGATGGACAGCTGGTCGCGGGTATTGCCAAAAATGCCATCGCCATGTTAGACAATCCAGGATAGATTGTAACTCGCCGTTTCCAAAAGTCTAGCACATCAATGTCACGCAATTCAAGCTTGTCACCGAGGTATTGAGCAATTTTGTTTGCAATCGAGTGCGCCTGTGGAGTATCTCATGTGCCGAATATCGCTTCTTCAAAATATTGAGAAGTTGTTGTTGCCACAGTTTTTTTTTGGTACTTTCTTGATTGGCGACAGGTTCATTCACTTCGTATCGCCTTGCCTCTTCCTCAAACATTAGGCGGATGTCGGACACATAGAGTTCATACTCAGAGAAGGTCATTGCTCGATCCTGTTTGTGAAAAAAAAGATTGATCAGTAAACAGTAAAAGCTGAAAAAAAACTTACTTGAAAATAATGTAACTTGTGACGTGGATCAAGGATGGTCGCACATACTGGTGCCGGTTTGAGAAGGACCTTCTTGAAGTAATCTTCAAGCTTATTAATCATCTTTTTCGAAGCTGGTGCCAATTGATTATGATCGTATCGTTGGACAATCTGAATATACAAGAAAAAAGTTGAATGAGTTTGAAAAAATAGTGAGATTATGAAAAAAAAGACTTACAGATTTCAATCCTTTTAAGACTACAACATATATTGGAACTACTTGATGCATTGTTGGAAACTTCGACTTGCATAGTATCTCAGTAGCTTCGCTAAGTGGTTCCAAAAAGTCGCACATCTGCTTCCCATAATCCCACTCGAGGGATGTAAGAGCATACTTCTGGAAGTCTCGACCTTTGCAGAACTCGTCACAAGACTCTCTTAGACGCAACAGTCTTCGGAACATGTGGTAGGAAGAGTTCCACCTCGTGGCAACATCAACCACCAGCTTAGTCGCGGTATCAGTGGTTTTTGGACAAGCCAGCCAAATGTGGTCAATAGTCGGGTCTTCAATGAGGTAAGCCACAGCTTCATCTTTGTTTTGAACCTCTGCTGCTCTCGCACTCGCAGCTTCGTCGGTGATGGTGTTGTTGGTGATAGCAGCAAGTTGACGTCGCATCGTGACGATGTTTGAGAAAGTTTGAGCACGTTGAGGACTAGCTCGAGTGCAGGTAACCAGGCCGTGACAACGGTTATAAATCGTCTTGAGATTCACTTGAAGTACGTCCGGGGGGTCGATGAGGTTGTGAATATTTGAGGTCAGTTCAGTATCTTCATCTTGTTGGAACAAATTACATTCACAATTAACGTTTTCTATTTTCTAATTACTTACACATTATGAATCAACATATGTAATGAAATTTGTCATGTCATACTCACGAACTTTGTAACTTCTAAACCTAATCACGTGATGTACCGCTAAACTTACTTTATCATTCCATCTGCTTTGAGAAAAGCTTTCTCTCTTTCTTTCTTTTATTCATCTTTATTGAAAGCTTTTCTTTTACAACACTTATATCAACTATTCACTCCGGTCCAATCCCTCATTACTGAATACTGACTGATATAACTGTTGTTTGGTTTGATCAAGGTAT